GTATATATATGTAATGGAAAAGGAAGGATATTCTGTCATTTCTAACAACATGAATGAGCCTGGAGAACATAATGCGAAATACAATAAGCCAGGCACAGAAATACGAATGCCACATGGACCTCACTTGCATGTGAAATCTCAAAAGTCAAATACATAGAGGCAGAGGTTAGTAGGATGGCTACCAGGTGCTCAGGATTGGTCAAAAAGTACAAAATTTCAGTTAGGAGGAAAACATTCAAGATCTGCTGCACAGCATGGTGACGGTAGTAAATAATAATGTATTGTATACTTGAAAATGCTAAGAGAGGGGCCAGGCGTGGTGGCTGACACCTGTAATCCCAGCACTTTGGGAGGCTGAGGCAGGCAGATCACTTGAGGTCGTGAGTTTGAGACCAGCCTGGCCAACGTGGTGAAACCCTGTCTCTATTAAAAATACAAACACTAGCTGGGCATGGCGGTGGTGCCTGTAATCTCAGCTACTTGGGAGGCTGAGGCAGAAGTAGCGCTTGAACCCAGGACACTGAGGCTGCAGTGAGCCAAGATAGCACCACTGCACCCTAGCCTGGGTGACCAAGTGAGACTCTGTCTCAAAAATAAAAATAAAAAATTAAATTTAAAAATTGCAAGAGAATAGTAGGTTTTAAGTGTTCTCATCACAGATAAAAGATAAATATGTGAGGTAATACATGTGTTAATTAGCTTGTTTTTTTGTTTGTTTGTTTTGTTTTTAAAGAAATGGAATCTTGCTGTGTGTCCCAGGCTGGTCTCAAACTCCTGGGCTGAAGCGATCCCCACATCTTGGTCTCTCAAAGTGCTGAGATTACGGGCGTGAGCCACTGCGCTTGGCCTAATTAGCTTGATTTAGCCATTCCACAATGTAGTCGTAATTTAAAACATCATGTTGTACACCATATATATATATGTATGTATACACACACAATAATAAAAAGAGAGTTTGCAAAAATATTTTCTATACATCATGCTATAGCAGAGAACTTTTAGAATTTTTCAGTTGCAATCATGGGTGAATTTATAATAGGCATTTTTTTTTAGACAGAGTGTTACTCTGTCACCCAGGCCAGAGTGCAGTGGCACCATCTCGGCTCACTGCAACCTCTGCCTTCCAGTTTCAAGCAATTCTCCTACCACAGCCTCCCAGGTAGCTGGGATTACAGGCATGCACCACCATTCCCAGCTAATTTTTGTATTTTTAGTAGAGATGGGGTTTCACCATGTTGGCCAGGCTACTGAAGGAGGTCTTGAACTCCTGACCTCAAGTGATCCACCCACCTCAGCCTCCCAAAGTGCTGGGATTACAGGCATGAGCCACTGCACCCAGCCTAATAGTCTTTTGCCATTAAGGCTAACATGCAACTTATTTAAAACTTTATTTTCTTAACAATAGAATGAGCATTGAAAAAATAGAAAACTAAATGAAATATCCCATATTCCCTTCTTCTAAGTACTATTTCTGGATACATGTATTTAAAACTTCTTTAGTATAAAACATGGTGAAACTAGCTCTCACGAGGTCTGCCTTGTGCCAGCATGTCATATACAGTTTCACCAGTCAGCTAATGAATATTATCTCCGTTTCACAGATGATATAGCAGGGGGGTCAGAGAAACTGAGTAACCTGTACAAAATCATGCCGCTTGTAGGTGGAGAACCAGGATTCTAACCTGGGGCTGTCTGGAGTGAAAGTCCTGTGATTTCTCCAAACAGGTCAAATTAGCTTTGGCAATATGGTTATTGCCGCTAGGCTGATTGAGTAAGAAAGGGCTGTCGTCTTAAGTACTAAATATGCTCACACCTTTTAAACAACCTCGTTGATAGTGTGTATCTTTTAGGTGTCTTTGGCAATTTCACTGAAAAAGACTTCTTATTATTTTCCTTAGTCTCCTTCAGTAGCAGTTTTTATTGGGGGAACATTCCAGTTATGGTTTGGCTGTGTCCCCACCCAAATGCCATCTTGAATTATAGTTCCCACAATTCCCATGTGCTGTGGGAGGGACCTGGTGGGAAGTCATTGAATCATGAGGTGGGCCTTTCCCGTGCTATTCTCGTGATGGTGAATAAGTCTCACGTGATCTGATGGTTTTATAAAGGGGCGTTTCCCTGCCCAAGCTCTCTTGTCTTGTCTGCCACCATGTGAGACATGCCTTTCACCTTCTGCCATGATTGGGAAGCCTCTCTAGCCATGTGGAACTGTAAGTCCATTAAACCTCTTTCTTTTGTAAGTTGCCCAGACATATCCAATTGCCATACCAGTTGGGTACGTCTTTATCAGCAGCTTGAAAATGTTCTAATAAGTCCCTTTGTGGCATTAGAGTGTATCAGTTCCCACTGCTGCTGTAATAATTTACTGCAAACCCAGTGGCTTCAGGCAGCACAAATTCCTCAGCTGACCTTCGGTTCTGGAGAATAATTGCTCCCAGAGATGTCTGCATCCTAATTTCCAGGACCCCTGAGGCCACGACCGGGGAGCTGGATCTGGAGGTTGGAAAGCTGAAGTGGGTCTCCCAGGCTGAATTTAAGGTGTCCGCAGCTGTGCTCCTTCGTGGAGGCTCTTGGGGAGAATCTGGTTTCTCTTCTTTTCCAGCCTTGAGGGGCACCCACATGTCGTGGCTCATGGCCCTCCTCTATCTCCAGAGCCATCGGGCTGGTGGGTTCTTCCTCATTCTGAACTTGACTCTCTGGCCTCCTTCTTTCACTTGTTTATTTCTTTTTATTTTGAGCTGGAGTCTCGCTCTTGTCCCCAGGCTGAAGGGCAGTGGTGCAATCTCGGCTCACTGCAACCTCTGCCTCCCGGATTCAAGCAATTCTCCTGCCTCAGCCTCCAGAGTAGCTGGGATTGCAGGTGCCTCCCACCATGCTCGGCTAATTTTTGTGTTTTTAGTAGAGACGAGGTTTCACCCTGTTGGCCAGGCTGGTCTCAAACTCCTGACCTCAGGTAATCCGCTCACCTAGGCCTCCCAAAGTGCTGGGATTACAGGCATGAGCCACTGTACCTGACCACCCTCTTTCACTTGTAACAACCCCCGTGGTTATGTTGAGCCTGTCTGGATAGTCTGCCAAAATGCCCTCCCCTGTCACAGCCTCATGGGTCCCGGGAATTAGGATGTGGACATCACTGGGAGCAATTATTCTCCCTTCCAGATTCATGTCCTTCCCATATGAGAAAAATCTTCATTCTGCCCCAACACCTCCCAAAGCCTAGATCCATCACCCATGGTGAGCCATCTCTGCTGGGTGGGCTTTTCTACGTCTCTCAGTGTTTTTGGAAAAGTTCTTACAGGTCTGTAGTAAGAAATTCCAACAATATAAAGTGTTAGAGAGTGAAAAGTAAGTCCCACTCCCGTGCCAGATCTTTTTGTTTTGTTCTGTTGTTGTTTGTTTGTTTGTTTTTTGAAACAGAGTCTCGCTCTATTGCCCAGGCTGGAGTGCAGTGGCATGATCTTGACTCACTGCAACCTCCGTCTTCTGCGTTCAAGTGATTCTCATACCTCAACCTTCTGATTAGTGGGATTACAGGTGTGTACCACCACATCTGGCTGATTTTTGTATTTTTACAAAAATAGAGATGGAATTTCGCCACGTTGCCCAGAGTGGTCACAAACTCCTGGCCTCAGATGATCCGCCTGCCTTGGCCTCCCAAAGTGCTAGGATTACAGGTGTGAGCCTCTGTGCCCAGCCTTTCCCAGATCTGTAGCCTTCCAGGTCCCTTCCCCAGAGGTTACAACAGTTGTTATTTTGTGTACTGTCACAGATGTTCTGTGCATAAAGAAATGTGTGCTTATGGTTTTTGTTTTTGTGCAAGAATCTTTTGTTCACCAAGATGCACTTTTTTTGGCCAGCCTTTCTGTGTGAGTACACACTCACACAGCTCCAAAAATAAGAGCCGGCCTTCACCAATGCACACAACCTACAGGTGACTTCTCAAATTGTGCTACTTTTAGCCTTGCTGGAGCCGTATGTATTATTGTTGGGCTCAATATCTGGAGCCTGAATTTATAGCAGTGGAATTCTAGGGTGCGAGTGACCTAGATAGAGAAAAAGAAGACAGGATCTGCTAATTTACATGACAAACACAATTCAAAACCCTATAAAAGGAAAGATCAGTTTCTTCTCCTGTAACTATCTTGATAGAAACAGCTTGTTTGAAAAATCTAACTGGGTGAACTCCAGTTAGATCTGGTCTACTGGGTGATTCGTTGGCCATAGTCTCTTGACATTTTTAGTTGACCTTGGGAGTCCTTTCAGGGAGCTGCTTTTGATGAGCACATCATTCAGCCTGAGATGGACAGGCCTAATGCCCTGCCCTGCCCGTCTGTGCTCATGAAATGTTCATCAAGGAGGCAGGGCGTGGACTCACCTGCTGCCTCCCATCTGCACGGGGGCCTGTCACTTGGAAAACGCATACGCCCTTTGCAAATTCCTTCCCCCTTTATGCCCTCAGCACCTTGTGTTATTTTGGCCCTCATTCTAGTTGTGCCTTTCATAATTCATCACCCCTGCTGTACTGAACAGTTCTAGGATGTCATCAAGGTGGCCTTGAGGATATCCTCAAGGTGGTGCCTCTCTCTCCCCTGTTTTTGTCCCAAGCTAGCATGGTGCCTGCTGGTGGTGCTGAACAACGGGACTCATTTGGAGAGCGCTTTTTTTGGTCATGAATTTTAATGATTCCAGGTTAGCCCATTTCCTAGGAATGATAAGCTTGGCTTTGATAGATGATGGCTAACAAAAGTTTTTATCTGCTAAAGTTTAGGATGAATTAGTTGAAGGACAGCCCTGGCAACAGTGGTGGGGCCTCCCGTGACTGCTCCTTTATTGTGGTGATACCCATTCTGCTCTTCAGGAGAGGTGGATGCAGCTAAGCATGCAGCAGAACACGGCTCCCGTGATCCGGGAACATCGGCGTTTCAGATTCTTGCCTGGGAATGTTGGTGAAGGCTGTGGCTGGGGCTCAATTCTGCTTTGTGACTGTCATCGCTTTGCAGGCCACCGAATCCCTTTTGGAATCATCTTTGGTGGAACTGATGTAAATGAAGATGCCAACCAGAAGGAAAAAAACACAGTGATGAGAAGAGTTCTCGAGGAAGCCAGGTAATACTTGTGGGAATCTCACCCATGTCAAACACTTAAACCCTGTGGATGGAATTCATTGAAATGGAAAGACCAAGGGAACATTGTCGGGAAGGTTTACATCTTACCACTCAAAATCAATTTCATGTAACCTTTTCTTTTATTTGCTACATTTGTATTCTGCCGCCAATAGTCATTCCTAACAGGTTATTTCATGTAAGTCTTTAACTACAGTTGATATTAGAGAAGCCTCTTTAGAAGGGTCTGCATGGAGCCGGGCACAGTGAGGCACGCCCGTGTTCCTCGGTACTCGGGAAGCTGAAGCGAGAGGATCACTTGAGCCCAGGAGTCCAAGGCTGTAGGGTGCTATGGGTGCACTCTGGCCTGGGTGCAAGCCCTCTTCTCAAAAAAGAGGTGATCTGAATGTAGAAAACACGGAACACAGGCAAACTCCAGCCTTATCGGCACACAAGTTAGGATCTAGTTTGCGTCAGGTTTGCCCAAGTCGAATGTGTTTGGCATGGCTCTTATCTATAATATAGCTTTCTGAGAGAGAGATATAAAATATGCCATTTGCAAGAAGGGTCACCGCCTGGATTTCTAAATGGTGACTCAGTCCTTTTCCTTGGGTATGTCCCTCCATTTGTCCCGGGAACCTTAGAGATAGCTGCTGTGAGGACAGCGCTCGGTGCTCTGAGTGGTGCTTCTCAAAGGGGTCACTGTGATAGTCCTGGGGGCTACCCTGCACATCTCTGGTCCCAGACACCACCCGCTGGCAGCACCCTCCAGGCACCACAGCTACCCAGCAGGTCTCCCTATAATTCTAGTGCCCCCAGGGTGGGGGAACTTACTATCCCCAGTTGAGAATTTCTTCCAGTGCTGTACTCCCCAACTTTATCCACGTCGAGGTGGTGAATGTAGGTTCATGGGAGGCTGTTGTCCAGGACTGGCCCCTGCACTGGGCCCCAGCAGACCAGCCCAAAACAGAAAGGACTCACTCTTGCTGAGCGCTGTGTAATCCAACTGAACTTTGAAATGGGGCAGTTTTCTTTTTTCTTTTCTTTTCTCTTTCCTTTTCCCTTTCCTCCACTCTCTTCCTTTCCCCTCCCCCCCCCCCCCCCCCCCCCCCCCCCCCCCCCCCCCC